TAATAAAAGCTACGAGTAAGAGTGGAATATTTTACACTAGAGTAGGATGCATTTGACAGTCAACATAGGGAGCTATTTAAATAAAAAATAAAAATAAATAAAAATAATATCCTGATATGATGAGTTTTTAAAAGGACAAAAAACGACGACTATATTCATTAATTTACGAGTATACAATTTCACTGACATTCAACCTGCACGTGCGCATATCATATGCTGCCAACCGTGTGGGTCCCACGTCTAATTTTTTTATAAGACCAAATAGTACTGTATCATATGGATCAACAAATCTGGTCATTTTATTACTCATTTAGTTCTTATCCACATGACCTCATAAAATCATTTTTTTTTTACTTTTATCTTTCATTTATACTGTAATATTTTAAAAGCTAACTCCTAATTACAGAGTAAGGTCCTGTTCTTTTGAGCTTCTAAGAAGAGTAGGGGTTAACAGAGCAGAGCAGAGCAGAGCAGATTTCAGTAGAGTAGAGCAGGACTTCCAACACACTGCAGAGTAGAATACGGCAGAGCAAAGCAAATTTCAGCAGGGCAGAGTAGAGCAGGACAAGACAGAAAAACTCAAAAGAACAGGAACTACTCGCTTCGTCTCATAATACTTCCTCCGTTAACGATTATTTGCAACAATTGTACTTTCGCGGAGGCCTAGGCAAAAGTTTTTAACATGATTGTTGAAATATAAGGGCATGTACTTAAGCACTAATCCAATTATAAAAAAAAAACCCACAATTAATTAAAACCACTAAACAACCAAACCCAGAACCCAGAATCACCACCACCACCGCCAAACACACCGTAAACCACCACCACCACCGAACCTACTGAAAACCCAGGCACCTACTGGAAACCACCACCACCACCGAACCCACTGAAAACCCAGGCACCCACCGAAACCACCACCAAATCCACCAAATCCCAACGAAAACCACCAAAACCCAACGAAAAAAACCACCAAAACCCACCGACAACAACCACCTTAAAACCCCAAAAGCCCCAATTAAACCACCACGAACCAGCCAAAACCATCACAAATCAGCCAAAACCACCACGAACCCAGCAAACCAACATGAACCCATCAAACCACCATGAAACCCAATTAAATCGGAACCACCACGAATTGAATTACTCCCAATTAAGCCACCACCACGAAACCAGATCTAAAACCCCTAAAACTACCCCATGAAACTCACGCCACCCCCACGAAACTCACGCCACCCCTAAAACCAGATCTGAAACCCCTAAAACCCCCACGAACCAAAAGATTTGTTGATCTTGATGAGATCGTCGAGGGACATGTTTAACCGATTTTTGATTGCCATTGAAAGATGTGATGAAGAAGAAGAAGAAGAAGAACAAGAAGAAGAGGAGGAGAGAGAAAATTGGGGAAAAACAGAGATCTAGGGTTGGCTCAAAACGAGGATGAGAGATAGAGAAGAGAGAGAAAGTGGGAAGATGAATGATTTTTGGTGAAAATGATTACAATAATCAGATTTATTAGTAAAAAGGTAAATTAGGTTAGTGATTTAATTAGATGCCTAAATTGTTTAAGTAAGGGTAATATAGGCATTTTGTTGGCAAAAAGTTACTAAAAGTGGAAAGAAAAAAAGTTGTTGCACATAATAGATAGCAACCGAAAATGGCAAATGTTGCAGATAATCGTTAACGGAGGTAGTATAATGTTTGTTTTCATTTTTCAAGTGTGATAAAAATAGTGTGTAATTTGATTAAAAATAGATGAAATAGAGGTAAATATGCTCCTTAATTTGATAAAGTACCCAAGTTATTAGATAAGGGTGTGTTCACATATATGATTATTATTAATCTGTATTTGTTATTTAAGAATAAGGGTGTGTTCACATATATGATTATTATTAATCTGTATTTGTTATTTAATCTTATACTTTGCATGAATTAACTTGAACTTATTAGGTCTTATATTTTTTTTCTTAACTTATCATATAACTCATCTAAACTTATATTTTCTGAAATAGGTAGAAATAAGATGAAACAATATATATAAAACCAAAATCGATAAAAGCCAATTATCAAAATAGCTATATCAATTCATATGGAATATTGTAGCTTAGTCACTAAATATATTCTAGTTTACTGTGTTAGTGCAAAAATTATTCCATAGGATGAAAATAAATGCAAAAGGTGGCGTTTATAGTTATTATCATGTAAGAAGCTTTGATGAATTGAAGATCGGACAACTTTTTTTTAGGGCAATATTCAATAAATACCCATGTTCCATTACAATGTCAAGGTTCTCAAGAATTATATTCGTGGTTTGCCTGTTCTCTTTTAATCGTAATATTGAAAACTTTATACTATGACATCTCGTTAAAACCGTCTCTACAACATGCGTGCACTATTAAAACATAGATAACGTGCACTTTTTATATTTATTCACTATGGAGTAAAAAGTTATTAAAGATATAAGATTTATATTGACCAAAGAAACTCTATGTTGTAAGAAGAAATCTTATTGTATGAGGTATGAAATAAATAAGAGAAATCTAATTGGACAAATTGTACACAATTGAAAGTTTCTTGTAATTTGATTCTTTGGATGGAAGTCAAGGTAAAACCTTGAATTCTTATTAAAAATTGTATGCAACATTTTAATTTGTCTCCTCGCCATTTAGAAAGAACACTTTCATGTTCACCTAAATAAAAAAAATAAAAAGTCAAACATTAAGTACTTTATAATTTTTAAAATAAAATACATTTGTTTAATTTATTTTGTTGCGTTTCTTATATGGTCTAATAGATAAATACACACTCTCTATCTCTATGTAAGATCTCATTATATTATTATAAAAAAATTTGTAGTCTATAATTAGGAAAAGACGAATTTTGTAGACTTTGTACACCAAGTCTAAAAGTCAATTTCTTGGAAATAAGATGAAATGAATAAAACTTTATACAAAGTATGATCATGAATTATGATGAATATATAGCCCTAAATTAACTTATGTCGATGTAATTTCGGAAAAGCATAAATGGATTGTAATTGTATTCAGTTTAAGTAATTTTAATTTTTGTTACGATGCCTCATACATGCAACCTTATACTATGATCAGATAGCATAATACTAATTCGAATGGAGAAAAGTATAAGATACGGAGTTGCTTTATATTCCCTAAATTAAGGTTAAAGAAAGTAGCAATTGAGATGAAAGTTGAATGAAACACAAAATATCGGCTTAAAATTCCAAATTTCTTATACTAGTTTTTAATTACACTTGGTATTCCTTCCGTTTTTAAATACTTGCTCCACTTTTCATTTCCAACCGTTTTTTAAATACTTGCTCAATTTCCTTATTTGGAAAGTTTTTACAATATTTAATTTATTTTTCTCAACTAGTGAACCCAACATAAATGATATTTTATTAATTTCATATTCTCTCTCCTCCAATTCTCTCAATTACTTTTGCTTTTTATAATTTTTTTATTCTTCCATCTACCCCACTATCTCCATATTTTATTATTTTCTCCTAAAATTCCGCACATAGAAAAATGGAGCAAGTATTTAAAAATGGATGGAGTATTATTTATATTGTATAATACGATATTCATATTATAGTGTTTTTTTGGTTAAAATTGACCAAGTTGGTCAAAGCACATATTCCCGCGTCTATTTTGGTACGCTACCTCATTTTAGTCGATTACTTTATTTCTAGTGTTGCAACTTTGTGATCAAGGTCTTCTATTCTGTGCAAATTCATTGCATGTTCACAATTCACAAACAATGCCAAGCAAGCAATATGCTCATTTCTCTTTTTAGTTTACTCGGTTTGACATTATCAGTTACTAACGCATAATTTTAATCGTTAATTGCTAAATTAAATTATATTTATATTATAATAGTATACATGGAGATGAATGAATTAACGGCTTACAGAGGATTAATTGACATATCTAAAAAAATCTTGGTTGGAACAAAAGAGTGTTGATAAGACTCCACTTTAGTGGGGGCATGAAAACATCAAGAAGTGGGCAACCGCAAAGTGTAGGAAGAAGAGAGTATATGCCTAGCTAAGGCTAAGCAGTTAGTTTGAGAGTAGGTGTCTCAATTATAGCTAAAGTCTACCAACAACTAACACTATTAATAATGGAGATAAATGATGCTTTGCTTTGCATTTTGTTTTTCCTTTTTTTTTTTTTTTGCGTCTTTCTAAAGTTGTCTGTTGCCTCTCCATTAGATAGCTCCATGCCCAATTTTGGCATTTTGCATCTTTTTTTTTTTTTAAAGCCAGCATTTTAGCATGCTATATCTACATTTGTTGCTCATTAACTTAGCTCCAATGCCAATTTTGGCATTTTGCATCTTTATTTCTCTTGAGGGCAACTAGAGTAATTTTTCATAGATCCATATCTTTATACTCCGTGATAGTTTCAACTCACGTACAAAGTCTTTTATGGATTCAAACTATTTTTAGAATAAAGATCTTGAACTAATTAATACAATATGTAATAATTCTAACTTTGGAGGTTAGTGTCTCAAATTAGTTTGAATTGACAAACATGCACTATCAGCAATCATATTTAGGAGTTGGATAGGGTTTATGCTTGAAATGCACATTTTCAGAATTCATAGGCTGTACAATATGAAGCTGAGAATTTACGACAAAATGCATTCATTCAACATAGTAATTAAGTTACAAGTATTTCTTAGTATTTCTACTTTGAGGAATTATTAAATGGTTAAAGCGCATATCTCTAATGACTACGTTTAGCATTTCGTGAAAAGTATGTATTTTTTTTTTCTCCTTGATAATGTAGATTTGACTTCAATACTTCCACTTAGGCACTTGTACAGTTATAGGTAGTATCAGCACTAGTGAAATTTGACTCAAGTAAATAAATAGCTAAAATTTTGTATTATAATTATGATTTTAAAAAAAAAAAAATAAATAAAAAAAGTCCTTCCATTTTTAAAACATAATGGAAATTCTCCTGTCAACATATCAGAAAATATTGAACCATAGGGGCACACTAGTAATTATCCAATATGAAAAAAAAAATTTGAGTACAGAATAAATGTCTCTGCTCTGCTCTCTATGATTAGTGATTTACTGGACTAAACATGTTACGTATGTACCAGATCTGAAGAATCTCAACCTTCTGTTACCATTATCTTTCAATGACATCAATGTATCTTTGTCTACCACCAAAGTATGAAGAACATTAAACATATTTCAGGAGGTGTTTGGTTGAGAGAGGTTCGAGCGAGACAAAACCCTCGCCCCTATTTTTTCGGGAAGTACCCAAAACTCTCCTAAATACCAAAAATTACTACGGAGATTCGTCTATCATCTCTCAACTAACTATACAGCATCGACTAAACAAGAAATTCTCGAAAATTAGTTGCAAGATGAACTAAATTCTCTTCACCCCCCGGCCAATCCACCACCACCCGAAGAGGGAAAAAGGTAACCACAAGTGTCTAATAGACACAAATTGCACAAGATCCTTATTTCTTTGCAGATATATACTCTATATCTTGTGAAGTAACATATGTACTTTTATTTTTTGTTACATATCATATCAAGATTATGAAAATGCACATATTTTTTGTGCAAATCTTCATGTATAATCCAGGTTTGCAACAAAGGAGCTGTATAGCAAGGGGATAGGGGAAAACAGTCATTGAAACACACTCTGGTAAATAAGATCAGTGCGCTGATACTAAGGTGTTCAAATGACTGATAAATCAAGAAAGAATGTTCCCGGAGGCTTTATTCCCCTAACACTGCAGAATCGAATGACCAATGAGGCTTCATCCTCCCCGAAATGTCGGCTAAGCTCAAACTTCTGCCAAAGAATTTACAGCTAACTCTCAAATTGTAGGCATGTAAACCACCGAACTGAAAAAATTTGCTGATGTCAACGAGAAAGGAAGAATATCACACAGATTATTTCCTGCCATTCGCCCAATGCCTGTTGTTGCCAAATTTACCAAATGCATTTGGTTTTGCAAGCCCCTGCTTGGGGATGTCATGTATCTCCATTACTTGTATGGTCCTTTGCCTCTTTGCTGTTTATCAACAAAATTAAAAATGACAGTCAGAAGTAAATTTTGGTCGCTAATTTCGGTTAAACTAACTTGGAATTGGAAATAATGACGTGTCAGCTCATAAAAGAGTTTGCACAAAATGTAAACCGAGAATTAAATGAGAATCTCATCTTACCATTCTCAGCTTGTTGGTATCGCTCCTGAAGTTTCCTTTTTGTGGCTTCTAGTTTCTCTTGGACAGCATTGTCACTCGAAGGTCTCATCTTCTGATCCAACAAGCAATGGAAATATAATTTAAACCCTAAACTTTCAAAAAACATTATATTATCCCGAGACCTAATTATGGTATAAATTTTGGGAACTTGATACCTCAGGTTGAGGAGGTGGCCTTCTCTGGATCACTGGTTTTTGTTGAACCCTAGAATCTTTGTTAAGATTCTGTTCACCATTGGGTTTTACAGGTCTACCAGGGCCAGATTGCACGCTTGTGGGCTTGTTAGGTTTTGAAAGGGGCTCTTGCCTTTTCGTTTGTTGCACCTTGTTGTCCTTTGGGAAGGGAGTTACCTGTTTAGGTTCTTCTCTTCGCTTAGGAGGGTCTTGCTTAGCCACTGAAGGCTTTCTTCCAGCTTCCCGGGCTTCCAGGTTCTTGTTGAATCCCCCACCCTTTTGAGGATCTGAAACAACATTTCCCCATTCATCATCATCATGATTCTTAAAAGTGGGGAATTCAGAAAAGAAACCAAATACCAAAAGCTATATAAGACTAGGCTAAAGGAAAGGAAGTGTAACTCACTTCCATCATCATCCATGCCATCAAAAAACTTCATGTTTGCAAAGCATGACCCAAAGGAACAAGAAGAAAGTCAGTTTCAAAAAGCAAGGACCATTATCATCAATGACACAGCTTTGGAACGATTCCTAATAATAATAACATAATGGCATCGACAAACAAATGAAGTACCTGAGTAAAATCCATATGTTGTGTTGAGAAAAATACTCCGTCCTCCAATGGTGGAGAAGGAAGCCCTTCTTCTTCATCAACTGTGGATGGGTTAACAGAATCAGGGGTACCTCCTTCTGCAAAAAAGGGGAGAAGATGAGTCAATATGAAGTTATGATATCAGAAATTAGATTAATCAATGCTCTTGCGATCATATACTTCATGAAGTATCAAATACAGAATAACACCACCAAAACAAGCAGAACACTACCTCCAAGTTCTTGGGAGGCTTTCACCCACTCATCGACAATAATCTTCCATCCACTGTCAACACAAAACAGCGATAACACTATTAACAAAGGAAAATGGGTGAATGAAACATAGCACTAAAATGATTAAAAGTTATATACGGACATCACAGTATGCAGCAAATTCATATTTTTCATGTTCATATTTGGAAATTCAAACAGCTAATTACTGAACCTAAAACAACCATCATGTGTCACAAATTCGAACATCTATTTCCATGTTCATATTTGGAAGGAAAAGAATATACTAAGTCGAAAATTAAATAGCTAATTACTATGCCTAATTAAATCAACAATCAAGTAACGTAGATTCGAACACGTTCACATTTGGAAGGGCAACATAACCGAAATTTTAAAAACTAATAACGAGTAATAACTATGCCAATATTTTAACCACTTTAACGGTTTGTAGATTCTTATAGCTCTTTAAAGCCTGAAAATCAGATAGCATCATACAGAATTTTTGCTCGCCGTTTCATGTCTATCTTCATAAAAAACATGCTAAACTCTTAAACAAAAGCAGCAGCACTAGTACTAATCAAGCATATAGGAAACACTATTAACTAACATGCCAAGCTCTTTGACAAAACACAGCACTGATCATTCATTAACAGTAGCAAGAACTCAAAGTTCACCAATATGCAATGGACAAGACACATGATCAGTTCATTTGTTAAGAGTAGTAGAATCATACTCTATTAACGCCCGAGCAAGATGACGAATGTTCTTTGCATTATGTCTTCTAATGCGATTAACAGCCTTCCCAATCTCAGTTGTCTGAAACCAGCACAATTTCCTTTAGATCATAATTCAATCCAATCAAGACTAAGCAACCTACTCTTACTATAAATTAAAACCAATTTATAACCATCAACAACAAATGATTGAAGCTCAAACCTTTAGGATATCAACATCCAATTGCATCAATTGCAACCTCCTTAACGACTCGAACAACACAGAATCAGACTGCAATAAATCAGTTACAAGAACAACAGCCACAAGTCAGAAAACCCTAGTCAAAAAAAAAGTTCAATCAAAAACACAATCACACATTCCTATCATCAATTCTATTAAACAACATCATAACACTATAATCAACTAAGACAGAAACAACCATTTTCGACGAAATCAAAAACCCGAAAATGTATCAGGAAAATCTACCTGATCCTGGCTGTTAAGGAGTATCTCCTTAATCCTCAACACCTCATCAACAACCTCCCTAGCTTCTTCAATCTCATTAGTCAAAGCCTCAGCATCATCTAAACTATAATTACTCTCATGATTCAATATCATATCCAAATCCAAGTTAGCAATATGTTGATCAATATCATTTTGATCATACTCATTTTCCCTAGTAGTACTATTAACCTTACTCCCTTTACTACCACCACCACCATTAACATCATCATCAACATTAAACCCATCATTAACACTTTTGATTACCACCTTAACATCACCATCACAACCACCTTCATCAACCTCAGAAACCGCTAACTCGACTCGGTCACATCCTAAACACCGCGTTAATCGACATGTGAATAGCAACTCAGCGATTCTCTCCCTCCTAACTCGGAATTCCTTTGGACAATCTGAAGCTGCCACCATTATTGCGTGCTCGATTATATCGAATATATCAGAATTTGCTCTTCTAAAATAATCTCTCCAATTTTCAAGACCAACACCAATTCCACCTCCTCCTCCATTATTATTAGTTTTATGACCACCTGGTTTTGAGGTCATTTTTGATCGAATTCTCAATAACCCAGATCCTAAAAACTTGTTTTAATCAATACCCAGTTGCTAAAATCACGAAATTTGATTACCCAGATTTTTATAATCCCAGAAAAAAAATTCCCAGAAAATATAAAAATTGGGAAAATGTGAATTTTAGGAGAAATTATTCGATCAAGAGAATACGATCAGAAATTAAAAGAGAATCGGAATAGAATAAACTCAATTGATTTCTGATATGGGATTAACTTTTTACGCAAGAATATTTTATTATATTCTACCAAAATTAAAAAAAAAATGAAAAATAATTTTTTTTTAATAATTAAAAAAAAAAAAAAAAAAAAAAAACTCTGTATCTTCTTCTTCAGAGAGAAGATGAAGACGATTGAAGTGAGTTTGAAGAGATGGCAAAAAAAAAAGGAAAATTAAAAAGAAGAAAAAGGGGCAGTTGAACAACAATTTTAAGCAATGAAGCAACAACCCAACCCAGAAAAACTAATTAAAACAGAAAAAAAAATAATTACAGACTTATTAAGTTGAATTATTAATAAAATTGGAGTTCAAATTGATTCTAGGAGTTTGAGAAATAGAGAAAAAGAGCAAAGCTTGTAATTTGTTTTTGTTTTTGTTTCTAAAATTTTTTCTGGAAATTTCACCGAGTATTTTTTATGGAGGTGGAACAGGAATTTGACAAAAAGGAGGAAGGAAAGTGAGAGGAAGAGGAGAGAGAAAAAAGAGAGAGGATTAAAATATTAAAATAAAAATAATTGGGAATTGAGAAAATTTAAGGAAATTGGCCCCTCTCTTTTGACTTGATCCTCTCTCTAATCACTATTCTCTCCTTCTAATTATCTTTGTTTAATGGAAAGAAATAATTAAATTAAGGAAACAAATAATGTGATATATATTGAATTTGATTTTATTATTTATTAGGAAGAGAGAGAAAATCTAGAGAGATAGATAAGGAAAGATATTGGAATCAGAAATTACATAGACATTTCTCAACACACAATTTGACACAAGAGAGATTTCATTTGCTTAGACAAATTCCATTTGTTAGAATTTTATTTTATTTTTTTATCATGGCGGGGCCGCATGGGAAAATGTCTATTTGTTTAATAAAATAGAGAGTATTACATTGAGTAATTGCCGTAATACATACTCTGTATTTAATGTAAATTTACGACTTAGAATAATTTTTTTTTTTTGACGGGGACGACTTGGAATAATTTGAAGTACTCATAATAGTCATAGTCCGTATTATTTTTATCGAAGTACATAAGGTAAAATAAGCAAGAAAAATTATTAAAATATATTTTAGTTGATTAATCTTTGGATATAGATTTGATTATAAGATATTTGTTGCATTTTAATTTTATTTAGTGATCAATGATTAGGAAATATTATTTGAAATATTTTGTCAAAACAGATTTTTTGAACAATTCCTTTTGCATGCCCCCGGTTTACAATAATTTTATTGTACATCGAACATTTTGCGAAAAGTGACCCTTTTTTCTTACAAAAGTGACCCTTTATTTTTTACAAAGTGACTCATATGTTTACTAAAGTGACCCTTTTTTTCACAAAAGTGACTTTTTTTTCTACAAAAGTGACCCTTTTTTTCACAAAAATAACTTCTTTTTTCACAAAACTGATCATTATTTTACAAAAGTGACCTTTTTTTCACAAAAGTGACCTTTTTTTTCTACAAAAGTGACCCTTTTTTCACAAAAATAACTTCTTTTTTCACAAAAATGTTCATTATTTTATAAAAGTGACCCTTTTTATCACAAAAGTGACCCTTTTTTATTACAAAAATAATTAAGCTACAAATGCAAAACAGAGTATCAAAATCAAAATTCTTAAAAAAAAAAAGTATCAAAATCAAAATCGAAGAAACCCAGCAAAATTAGAACCTCCATTTTTACGAACAAACCCAACTCACCCACAAATATTGAACCACCGCCATTTTCAAACAAGCCCATTCAAACTTGTTCGAGCACCGCCCATTAGGCAGCCTCCAACACTGCGTGTCTGCGTGACTGTACTTCTGGAACTTGAGCGGCAACAATGGCGACACTTCCGACTGAGATAATCACAGAGATTCACTCACAATTACCTATTAAATCAGTTGTACACTTCAAATGCGTCTATAAATTCTAGAATTCCTTAATCAAAACACCCAATTTCATCCAACTTCATCTCAATCAACCCTTAATTTCCAACTTCGATCGTCATCTCCTCTTCTGTTATCAATCTCTTTATTCTGCAGAATTCGACCATGACAAGATCTCTTTCTTAGAGGTCCAACTCCCACTCTCAATTCAGGGAGTTCAGGTGTTTGGGTCTTGCAATGGCATCATTTGCATTGAAGAGAGAAATAAAAGCAAATTGAAGAGAGAGAAAGCTTTCAGCAATGGCCTTGATTAGAGCAAAGTTCATAAAAGAGAATGAGGAGAGAGAAGTAATTTTGGGGAAAAGTCACGTGTGAAATTATTTAGGGAATGAAATTCTTCCTCTTCTTTCTTGCCACACAATAAAATAGTGTAAACCCGCTTTTTTTAAATATTTGTGTTTTTTGAAATATTATCTCGCTCTAAGGATCTTACATTTGGCGTACTTATAAAAGATGGATCAAGCTTTTATTGACAATATATAATTAAGCCTTGTTCACTTCACCTTAAAAAAATAATATTAAGTAAAAATAATTTCAATTTAGTAAAAATCAGTTTTAATCAGTAAAAAATAATTTAAGTTCAGTAAAAATAATTTCAGTTTAGCAAAAATAATTTCAGTTTAGTAAAAATAATTTTAGTTCAGTAAAAATAATTTCAGTTCAGCAAAAATAATTTGAGCAAAATTAATTTAAGTTCAGATACGTTGATGCTTTTTTTACTGGGATTTTTTATGTAAATTATTTTTACATATATTGCAAAATATTGTCGTACAAGATTTTTTTTTTTTATACTTCACATATATTTTTTATGCATCACTTTTGTCTACACTTTTATCACATATTGTATAGTTATAAAATATAATATCTTTTTTTTTTGTCAAGTATAAAATATGTCTTATTGATAATATTGTAGTCGGTTATATTTGGTAAATACAAGTACTATATTTTATAAAAGGGTAACAAAATTTATCATGATAGAATACCTAATCATTTACAATAAATTCAATGAGATATTGAAATATGATATTCATATATGATTATATATACATGATCTTTACAATACTACCAATAGTAAACTCAAATAGTCATATGCAATAAGAAGCAATCCTTGTAATAAACTCATCATATGGAAGTTGAATAATAAACTCAAATAGTCATATGCAATTAGAAGCAATCCTTGTAATAATTTATGATTATAATAATTTATAATCTTATTATTATTAGTTTTATTGTTTTGGTATGATTAGCGGTAAAGTTAGGCAACGAAAGACAGTATTCCTAAACCTAATATCATATACAAGTATATGTAATATATCATATATATCAAATACATATTCCCATAATTTTCCTAATAATGTTTTTATACATAAGCGATATACAATGACTATCCAAAGCTAATAATCTTTTATTATAGTTCATCATGGGTCCAAACTCCAAAGATTGATGGCAAATATATAAATGTACGCACTCAAATCACTTCCCTACCTATTTATTAAGGCTCCAAGTTCCATCTAAAGCATTTTTAGATCATGGATATTATTATATACGGATAATTCTTTGCAAAACTCTTAAATTGTCCATATACATTATCGTTATAGGCCAACCATTTTTATATACGATATTATGTAAATTTATATGGTTGGCATAATATATTATCGTTACATATGCCAACTATATTAATTACAAAAATAGATTATTTTACTTAATATATATATATATATACATATATATATATTTTTTAAATCAGTAGAAATAATAACATTTAAATCAATAAAAATAAGTTCAGTTCAGTAAAAATAATTTCAGTAAAAATAAGTTCACTAAAGTTCAGTTTTAATCAATAAAAATAATTTCATTTCAGTAAAAATAATTTTAGTTCGACAAAATTAAGTTGAAGTGAACAGGGCCTTATTCCGTATCTTTTTAGCAATATATTTGTGATGTAACTATTAGTATTATTTTTTTTTTAGGAATATATGTATAACTATCTACTTGGGTAAAAATCCCTCAAAGAAAATTCACTCGGGTAAAAAATGCTAAACTTTAATTATGTTAACTTTTAGTGCCCTTATCTATCTATTTGAACTTAATTACCTTTAATTAGAACACTAGTTGAGTTATCTAATATTACTCCGTATTACAACTAAACATATCTTTGAAAGTAAAAAAAAGGCAAGGTATATCTTTAGAATGGTGATGGGTTAAGTACAGTAATCAACTTCAAATTACCTTTAGGATAATGATCATTTACAATAATTAAAAAATAAATAAAAATCCGTATAATATCTTCTAGCTATACGGTATATATAAATTGGTCTACAAAGATATATAAAATTGTACATTGATTATGTGAATTATCTTATCATGATACTATTGATTGTTTATTGCAACTGTTTGTTAATATTATATTTTTGTTATTTCACTTTCCAAAAATAAAAAAATACAAGTAAAAAATACAAAAAAGGTTGGATGATGTGTACGTGTTACTCGTGAGTCATGTTGCAAACATGCACATTAGACTGTTAAAGAAAGTTACGACAGCGGAAAATCCTCTGATCAAAATGATATTATTAAGGGTTCCATGATTTTTATTCTCTTTTATTTCATCTTTGACTTGTACGTGTTGCTCGTGAAGCTTTTCTACCCAAAGAATGTAACAAATTCCAAATTTAATCAATAAGACTACCGACCTAGAGGCATGTCAAGAATTATAGATTTTGCGATCCATATTAATATTGAATATTGATAGATGAATTAGGTAATTATAATAATATTGCGTAACTGAATAAATGTTTGATTGACTCTTAAATTTGTTAAATAACGTAAGCTTATAATAAGGTTATAAATAAACGTAACTTATAATAAGGTTAAATTAGAGAAAGAAACTATGTAGTATAATAGTTTTTGGAACTCTAATACAGTTATATATGCACTTAATTACTTGATACTGTAATAATGAATCTGCTTAATCTATAATTACACTTGTATATGTAAGCTAATCAACGGTGACCTAATGAGCTAGGTTGGAGGGTTAATAGAATAATAGCTAGATTAGTACTCCTAGCTCATTTAACCCTAATTACAATTACTTATTACTCAATACGTCAACTCTATATATACCTTTTATAAAGCTCAGTTAACGTTTTAATAAGCTTTGACTACAATGATGTTAGGGATATTAAAGTAGTCAAATTTGGATATATAATTACTTAATTGCTCAACTAGTTAACCATATTATATAATTAATTCATTTATAAGTTTAACCATATATATAAGTATAGTACTTCGATTTTTGGAACCCTAATCAATACAATTACTTAATTACTCGATACTTTAATTATGAATCTAGTCAAGCTACAATTATCACACGGTATGCATGTATGCTAATAATCAACATAAACTATATATAGCACTAATCGAGGTTGGAGGGTAAAGTAGCAAGATTAATTCCTTTATTTAACCCTAAATACAATTACTTACTCAATATATCAACTCATGCATCTCTCAATCTATCATTCTATCGCCATTATATCTACTTTTTATAAATCTGGTTAAGTTGCAACTACAATATTCGGGTCTTAATCAATTTAGACGATAATGAGGTTGGAGATACTAATTAAAGCATTTCAATTTTTGAAATACAACCACTTAATTACTTAATTTAGTTAATCATATACAATTAATTAATTATTAGAGTATAGTGAAATCCGAATCACACGTGTACATATAGATTCTAATTCACTTTTTTTCATCAGAATG